AAATAGCTCTCTATAGTGCAAGTGAGCAAATCAGCTTTAGAAGTTGGCAACACCAGTCTTTTACCAACTGAGTGAAATAGCAAAGTGACGACATCGTCAAGTAATTTAAATTTATCAGCATGTTTAGATTCGAACAGTTTATTAACTTTTTGCACTTCCGTTAGAATGGGTTGTAAAATGAGAAGGAATGCCAAATTGTTTTCATCACTGTACATTCGATATAGTATGTCAGCTGTGCAGCACTTTTCACTTTGTCTTGTTATTTCAAAGTGTGTCTTCAACTCCAACCATTGGTTCACAATTCTTTCAACAGCTGGTTGCATTGATACCCATCTAGTTTTGCAATCTGACATAATTTTCAATGGTGTGGAACCATCATTCAAGGCTGTATAAAATGTATTGTATTGCTGTTGTCTGACAAATGATTCGGAAAACCAGTTATGCATTTCGGCAATAAGGTATTCCAAATTCCTTGGTAAACATTCAGAAGAAGCATGTGATAATGCTAATTGCAATGAATGACACATATGTTTTATAAGGATTAACGATGGGATAGCTTCCTTCAACTTGGCATAAACTCCATTGTTTATACCAACCATCACCGAGGCATTATCAGTACCAATTGCAGCCAAATTCTTCAAGTCTAATTGTTTGCTGATTAAAAGTTTCTTCAGTTCCTGAACTATACTTTCTGCATTACACTTTTCCAGTTGAACTAGTCCAAGATATGTCGAAACTACTTTGTCTGTGTTGTTGCTGTAATATATAATACACACACCAAGCACTTTCAGTACAGAAATAGCATTTGATTCGTCTAATAATAAACTATATTTATTTGTAGAAGTATCACTGATTAAATCTTTTTCAAAGTAAGAAAATAAAGTATTTCTTATAATATGTGTACACTTGCTGCTATGCATTTTAACATCATCCATAACTTTACTGTCAGAAATAGTGTTTTTAAACAAATCCATCAAATGGTTACAGTTTGAAATTGCACAATGACAACTTTAAAACATTGTGACCGATCCTTCAACTTTTGATGATTCATTTATCAGTGTAGTTCTGAAAACAGATGTCAGCGGTGTAATATCTTTGAATGGAACTGCAGTTTTATGCTTTTTAGTCACTGCATGACTCTTCAAGTCTTGTATTTTTCGCTTTAATTTCACACTTGCAGTACCTACAACAAGCCTTGGTCATATCCCCAGGAACTGCCACACCCAGTCTTTGTCATCATGCAGCCACTCTTTTCGAAGTTTTTACTCATACTTTACTTTTGGCATGTTGGAAGGTTTTTAAAAGTGAAAGCCACATATGAAGGTGAACAATTTTTTTTTTTATCACATGAAAAAGAAACACAAAGTCAGCACAGTGAGGATCCGGTTGAAACAAAGTTAGTAAGATTTACGCGCGCTTTTAATCAGTACCGGGGCTGCCTGATTTTTGAGCGTTGACCCAAGTGAGAGTTCAAAGTTTAAGTAATCGCAGTTGTCACAATGTACGTGCCAGACCAAAACAAAAATATTGTAGTAAATATTTTACACAGTAATTATTAAACTGACACTGAAAGAAAAATAATCTATAAAATATCTAACTCCAAACGAAAAACATCTAGGAAAACATTTACCATCTAAATGTCAAAAACACCATTTAAATGCAAAGGAAAACATCTCAATCTGAATGTAAAACATCCAAAGTGGTAACGCTGGTCTTCACCCTGTGTCTCGGACTGACATGCGCAATAAGATAATAATCGTTTCCTGATCCTGTCTCATCCTGTCTGTGATAAACAAAACGTCCCTGAAAATTCCAGTAAGTTTCGGGTTATCCAGTTCGTTAAATTACAGTTTATATAAATACACTTTACACGGTTACTACAACCATAAGCAACATTCTTGTACGATTCTGTATGTAGTTTGTGTTTTAGTTAACTGTGCGTTTAAATCTACCGAAAATTCCTAAAATGCATAAAGCTGAATCATTCAGTGAATGAAAAAGCAGTCTGATGTCTATCTATGACCCCAGGCTGACCCCTAAAATAAAATGTAAACTGGACTCTCATTGTGATTAGAAAAAAAACGAGCTGTTTAGTTTTGAAATATGCCAGTACCATTTAAGGACAAACTGTAGAGATGAAGAAGCTGAATTTTAATACTGATTTATTTAAATACATTAATCAGAACGACGTACGAAGGGGTGCGAACAAAAAGTCCGGAAAAGAAAATCAATTCCAAAAAATGGAATGCATTATCATTATGATTAACCCTTTTAGCACGGGAAGTTTTTCAGAGGTCTAGCCAAAAACACGGAGCATTTTTTCAGTGAATTTGATTATTACTTAAATTTTTTTGACAGATTTCTGTATTTCTGATCCCTATGAAATAATATATCTATTTGAAGGATATAGATTGAAGTTCGTGATTTTCACAATATCGTTAAAATTAATTGATGTATATGCAAATTATCTCATTTGCATGTCTAAAAATAGAAAATATGAATTTGAATTTTCAACTTCAATGCTTGAAACATAAAACTAAAAACAAAATTTTTTTTTATTTGAAATCTTTTTATTGATCTTTGGCCCTTTTTACAAATTGTAAGCATTCAATAGTCAAAAAACATGTATATATATGTGAAACAGCAATAATATCTTTAGGTGACATGTGTTTTCACCATCAGTCAGCACTATAAATGGATGTGCCGGAGTGTCAACACTTTCAGGTGGATATACCCTGAGCCATGTTGGGCTGTGGTCTGAACACAACAGCGTCCCCATCTGATTCACACTATAACTACTAACACTAAATCCTGCATCAGTATCAACAGAATTAGTGTCAACACTTGATTCAAATGTTTTATCAACATCAAGTTTAGGGGCAGAAACATACGAGTCAGACATACTTTTAGCGGTTCAGGTCACTATCTAAAAAAATCAACAACAATTTTCACTTCGATACCAAACACTCGAAAGTCGCCATGTGTAAAGCTGATACCGCAGTTAATATAAATGAATCACTTTCAGTGTTTCAAAGTAGGAGATTTCTTAGCGGTTCGAGGCGAAACACGATCGGGCCGATCATCGGCCGTTCCGTGTTTTTGGCAAGACATCCGCCGGCCGATAATCGGCCCGTCCGTGCTAAGAGGGTTAACTGAGCTAATGTTAAAGAAGACAATGACAGTTGCTTTTACTAAATTTTTCATTTGGAAAATGTGTAATGGGGTTCATTGTTAGTTGATTCTTGAAAGTAACCTACTAACCAGGCAGCATAATATAAAATTTCTCATCTGGTTTTTAGTTTGAAATTGAAATAGAATCATTAATGTTGAGCTTAAGGAGATGACTTCTTCTTTTCTTTTGTCAAAATCTGCTTGTGCCGCTAGGCGTCGCAGTCTATCAGATGATCGGCAACCGAGCCAGGGCGCGCTCAGTCGTTTCATACGCCGTGATGTTATGAAGCCTCAAGTTGTCCGTGACTCCTTCAATCCATCTTCTTCTTGGTCTTCCCCTGCCTCTTGGTGTTTCGATTTTCATGTTGTATGCTCTTGATGCTGGCATCGTAGGTTCCATTCTCATTAGGTGACCAAACCATTTCATTCTTTGCTTCTCAATAAATTTAATGATGGGTATGGTTCCAATAGTTCTTGTAATCACATCGTTTCTCACTCGATCTCTTCTGGTTTTATTCGCAGCCATTCTCAAACATCTCATTTCACAGGTGGTTAGTCTTCTCTCGTGTTCTTTTGTTAATGTCCAAGTCTGACATTGATAACCTTTTGTCGGTATAAAGATTGTATTTATAATTTGTCTTTTTATCTCAGCTGGGACAGCAGGGTGTTTTAAAATTGGGGCAAGCTGGTATGCGACATTGTTGGCTTGTTGGGTTCTTGTTTCGATCTCTCTGTCTATTTTACCATTGGATGTAAAGATACTTCCCAAGTATTTAAATTCTTGCACTTGTTTTAGGCTGTGATCTAGAATCTTTATGTCGATGGTCTGTTGCTCTCTACTTATGCTCATGAGATGACTAAGCTGTGAATTCCAGTGAGATTCAAGTGAATCAAGAGTTGCCACAAAGATGTCCTGCTTGCATTGGATACGATTCATGTCATCAAGTGGTCAAGACATCAGCCCCCCGCTCTGAAGGTCATGGGTTTATTTCACATGTTGAGAAAAACCAGTATAACCAGAAAGTCTACACTGAAACCCACAGGGGAATAGAAATAAAAGCAGAGCAGAAAACACAGAGAAAGGAACTAGAGAGTATTGGTTTTAAAAAAAAAGGAGGGCGGAGGTACATAGAGTAAGCTACATGCAGTATCAACAGATAGGACAGCTTGGCATGAATTGGAAAAGGACCTGTGCTCCACTGGGATCTATATCAGAAGTTATCAGAGTTTATTAGTGATCACTTCTCTCTAGCTATAATAGTTCATTAGGGCTATCCCCCGAATAACGGGCACAAAATATGGCGGCAAAAAACTGGGCCTCGGTCACGTGTCACTTGGGCACTTCCCGAGACTTAATTTGCGAACTTCCGGCGACTACAGCCACCGCCAAAAGTATCCCCCACGCCGCGTGAGCAGTGTGGATTGGGGCTAAACTAGATGGCTAGGACTCACGAACAAAGCTGCAGGAGATGCAGAAGCTGCTGCTTGTGAGTCCCAGCCATCTAGTTTAGCCCCAATCCACGGCGTGGGGGATACTCTCGGCGGTGGCGGTAGTTGCCGGAAGTTTGCAAATTAAGTCGCTGGAAGTGCACAATTGACACATGACTGAGGCTCTGTTAGGGTGTATGTGCGGTCGCCACAATATGTGCCCGTTATTTGGAGGATAGCCGTTCATTAGTTATAGCCTGTTTTGATAGTTACTTACAGAGTCATTGCCATAATAATAAAAGAAAAGTCATGTCTGTGATACCACCAAGTTTGTTTTATCATTTGTTGACCTACAGATACTTCATCATTAACAGCGGTTGAGTAATCCTGTGTATCTGACAATGGGAAGAATTGATATTATTGCTATTGATGGCAGCCCACAATCACGTTATGCATTTGACTGTAAGTATATTCATATTTGCACCAGTTTATCATCTTTTACTTATTGTCAGAATGGTCTGGTTTCCGAGAGGCTCAGTCTCTCTGCCTTTGACCCACTTTCTTTTTTTTTCCATGATAGTCTATTTTCCTGGGCCAAAACTACCAGTGATCAGAAATACATGACAGGCATTTGATGTTGTGTAAGTATTTGGAGGAAAGCTTTTTTTCTTCTCCGTCCTCTTCTTTTTTTTTTTTTAAATGTTATCTTTATCCACAGATCGATAATATATTATTAATTGGCACCACTGAGCCAGATCATGTGTCATGCCGTTGGATTGAAAATGGGGTGGAGAGGTGTAATTTTTTATCTTCTGAACAAGTTATCTAATCTACAATTCACAGTGCTGTCAGAAAGAGATATTTTTGTATCCCTTGCATCACCCAAAACAATTTTTTTAGCTTATGCAAGATTTAAAAAACATTTCTTGAATTGTGTGGTTTTGTTTGTCTTTAACTGTTAGTAGTATCATATGGTGCTTTAATAGCCTATTAAATCTGTGATTCTAATGAAGGAAGATTTCCCCCCCCCCCATATCTACAATACATAGAGAAGAGTATTAGAGAATAGGGTAAATGTTGGTAGGAAGGACACAGAATCAGCTGTATGCAATGACATAAGATAGAAGGGCTTGGTACAAATTGGTTTAGAGCCTGTAAAAACTATATAAAGCTATCAGATATTATTTCCAAATTCTCTGTGTGGGTTCCGGGGCCTTTTTATAGGAAAAACAAAAATCGGCCCACTACCTATCCAAAAGCATGTCATAAGAGTCTTCTGATTGGGAGCTTCCTTTAGAGTTGGGGTGCATCTGTCTGAGAGGCAAGGAACCAACAGTCTGCATTAGGGCTATACCGAATATTCGCTTTGGGACCGAATAGTGGACCTAATAGCTATTCGGTATTCGGCCGAATAGCGGCGGTCGGGCCGAATATGAATAGTGATTTCTGCATACACTGCAAAAACTGCATTTTATTTTTTAAAAAAAAAATCTAATGCAATATATCTTTGTCTTGCTTGCTACATACATCCAGTTTTAACATATGGCTATTAGTCCTGGACAATCGGTAGCCAGGCCAAACTATTTTTTGAGGCCTCAGAGATGTGGTTTTACAGAACAATGCTTAAAATACCTTGGACAGCCTTAAAAAAAGCAACCACTAGGTTTTGAAAGAGGCGGGAGCCCGAAGACAACTAATCGCAGACATCAGAAGAAGACAGTCATCATTTTTCGGCCATCTTATAAGAAGAGTGAAAATGGAACATGTGGTGACCCCTGGAAAGATTTGTGGAAAGAGAGATAGAAAAAGACAACGAGAGAAGATTCTTGACAGTCTTGTTGCATGTCATGGAGGTGTGTAAGCACACGAACAAATACATCCTGCAGGAGATCGCAGATTGTGGCGAGGCAAAATCGCCAACACCAGTCGGCAAGGCACCTGATGATGATGATACACTGTTCGTATTCGGCCGAATAGTTGGTCCCACTATTTGTATTCGGCCGAATAGTGAAAATCACTATTCGGTACAGCCCTAGTCTGCATACAAATTAGATCTGTCAAACGGATGCACACGCAACACTTAAGTTCTGGAACAGGGCTGCATTCCAGAAGTGGACGAACAACCAGAATTTCTGCCAGAGTTTACAGCTGTTGAACGCGAAGAAGAAGAAAATTTCCAAAATGTTTACATTTTCCCATCTTTGCCACAGTTCAGTTCATTCATTTATCTTTTCATAATGGCGTAGGAGTTGCAAACACAGTTTCACAATTATGCATACTGTTTGTTGCAGATTGCCTATTTGTATTTAACAATCTGAGCAATTTACCATTCTGCAAGCAGTAGTGAGCAACTGACTAAACACGCAGTTGCTTAGTGAAACTACACAACCGTCAGTAGTAAATGCTGGGGTTTGTTTCATCCTAAAAGGAAATGCAACTTTAACCATGATGAATGTAAAGTGGCCCAGCATTATACAGTGAGTACTGCTGGCAGACAGTCTCTTTGTAATTTATGTTTATGTAATTGGGTGTTGTTTTGTATCAGGGTACTTGGAGAACTTGTACAGAGAGGGCAACACTGTGGTGTTGGCTCATGTTGTGGAGTATGGCATTAACATTGGACTACGTGAGTAGCTTTCTGGTATTCATTACCTTATTGGCACAGTAGTTTTGTAATCACCTGTTTATTACATTTTCTTTACATTTCACCCTTCTGCTGCGGTCAGCTCGCCTTATCTGTATTTACTTGACTCAGAAAGACAAAAAATGTTTTCTCTATATTGTCTTTGCTTTTCTCTAATTCATGCATCTCGGTATATTTATCCCAGGAAAAAAAAAAAGCTTATTTTTTGATTTGTTTCTACATCACAGCTACTTCTCAATTTCGTGCAGCTGCACTTACATCTGTTGATAAAATTATAATTTATTTGCTGTGGATTTTGTCTTGTTAGTGTAAGTCCTTTTTGTGAATCACTAAAGTTCATGCAAAAAGCCTTTTTTTTTTTTTTAATTAATTATTTGTGTGAATCAGACAGCTCGACCACTTTACTGTGTCCACCTTGTAGCACTGCTAGATTTAAATTCACCTTCATCATTCTCAGCATAAATATGTGAAAACAAAGAAGTATTATTCCTGTTGAGAGATTGTTGTGTGGATCATCATCATCATCATGTGGCAGCTCTTCTGCAGTACGTTGCTGTCATCACAGCACAGCAACAAAAATGGTGCTGCCCCCTGCTAGCTTTTCAGTCTCCTGACTTTTAATGCTGAGAGAATTGTTTATATACTGTTTTCACTCTAGTGCTGGTCAACCCCTGCTTCTCCCTGAGCCATGCCACTCATTACTGTTTTCTCCAAACCATTATGGGTTCACTGTAATATGACTGAAATATTTCAGTTTGTGTGCCAGTTCCCAACGATGTGTAAGATTGTTAGAGATGTCATAGTGGCACTGTTTGAAAGGAGGACATTATCATCTGCATTTTGGGAGTTCTGGATTTGGATTTCTGCCAGTTATGAGAGAATCAAAGCCACTGCCATTCTTATTACCCCTGACATTTCTGATTACATTCTGTCTGCATAGATCTTGAACATATACGGAGATGGAATGCCTCCTTGCCTCTCTCCCTCTTCCTCTCCTTTTCACCTCAGTTATTGAAGTTTTGCAGGCTTTTTTAATAGCTATTGTTTATGAAACAGCACTTCCATTAGGTGGATCAAGTATAACTGGAGAGACATCTAAAAATGAAAGTACTTCTCTGAAGTAAACACAACAGGCAGTTGAGTTGTAAGGAAAGCTGCATCTGGCCGCCAACGCCATGGCAACTGCCATAGTTATCTGTAGCCGCATTTTAATTAGTTAAAGGGAGAGTCTGTACACCAAAGAACATTTAGTGATCCAAGTGCAAAAGAGTGTTGATTGATTGATTTAAACGCTAGTGTGTTCTTGTGTGCATTTTCAACTGATTCATTCATTAAAATACACAAGATTTTGAATGTCAGAATTATGACCAGTTTTTGTTTCTGTCAGAAACTGCGTTTGTTAAAAGCAAAAATAGTCTCTAGTAAAACAGACCCTATTCCATGCCTTCAGACATATTGGGCATGTAGGCTAGACCTATATTTTTTAGACCAATGGTCACTTGGTGGGTGTTGTGGTCAGCTTTACTTCCCAGGACTTGTTACCTGGTACCGACTCGAGGCTGGGTCGACCTGAGACCCAGATGTGTGTGTTTTTTTTTTTTTTTTCAAGTCCAGCTCTGTTAATACCCAAACCCACAACCTTCTAATCCTCAGGTGAGTGTCTGGCTGCTACACAGTGGTGACTCCCGGTATATTATAATACTGTTAACTTATTTATGTCTCTGTCATTGGCTTGTTTAGAAATATCTGGAAGCATTTTCATGTTGAAGTACATTTGAAAGTTTGTGTTGAAACATATATTTTTGACAGCTGGCATCGCAGCAGACGTTGAGGGAATATGTGCGGCTGTGAAGAGGAAAAATGACGAGGTCGAGGCAATGAGTGAGGAGTTTATGAGTATCCTCAGAGCCAAAACTGTAGGTGTAAACATGTTATAGTTACTGCTGTGTATTTCTTTTGTTAAAATCTTTTTCTGACTCTTGACTTGAATTATATCTCAAGAGGAGTTTTTACAGCACAGGTTATAATGTGGAAGCTTCTTCTTCTTCTTGTTCACCAGCTGTACACTCTGGCGGAAAGTTCTGGTTGCTTGTCCACTACTGAACTGCAGTCCTGCTTCAGAACCTGAGTGTTGCGTGTGCATCAGTTTTACAGATCTCATTCTCTTGAATACAGACTGTTGGTTCCTTGCCTCTCCGGCAGATACACTCCGACTTCAAAGGAAGCTCCCCAATTAGTCGACTCTTACGACATGCTTTTGGGAAGCAGTGGGTCTATTCTTGTTTTCCCCACAGTGGGGCCCCGGAACCCACACGGGGGTAATGTGGAAGCCAGAGGGATTTCAACAAAAATTTTACACAGGTCACATTTATCTAAAATTGTTACTTCAAAAAAAAAAAATATATATATATATACAAATGTCTGAAGGCTGTCCAGTAAACATGAACACGGTGAATCGTTAAATAGGATAAATTCCTGAGGACCTTATTTTATTTAGAAACAGTTTGAAAAAAAGGATGTATCAGGTGACTTATGCCATGACCCCATGTCCTCTATCACTGAGGCTTATGGAAAAATTGTACGTCAGTTTGGCTTTAAAAAAAAAAACTATCTCAGAGGAAATTTCCCTCCCATAATTGCTGTTAGTTTATGTATAAATATCCCAAACTAAACATTTGTGCAGGCATTTTAAAAAAAAAAGCCAGTGGCATTAAACTGTGCTTCTTGTAAACAGGCCCTGTAGATATGTTGGAAAAGTGACATTTTCAAGGAATTATACCCAACCGGAAGTGTGGGTTTTGCAGATTTTTGCGGCAAAGGGGTCAAGATATTCAGCTCTAATGTCAAATCAGTTGCGATTTTAGGGAGCAGAAACATAAGTTAGGATAAAGACTAAAGTAGTTACTAATAAACAACGAACATTCATTATTAACTGGTAAGTTAGTTGCATATCCTTTACATGACGCTGCAGAACCAACCCCAGCATTTTTTGGCTGTTGTGGTTTTTCTAACATGTTTTACATTCAGTAGTTTGCCACTGGTTTTGTCAACAGTCAGCTCTTGGTACCACTGTCGAAACCAATGCTAGACAAACTGTCCCCAGCTGGGATCAGACCCAGCTCCCCGGCATTACAAAGCACGTTAGCAGTGCCAAAGCCAAAGACGGCGATTTATCAGAATTGATATTAACTGGTACCTATGTGAAATATGCAGAATTAAGTCTTCTAGAATCAGTAATCTGGAACTTTGAGAAAGAGAAAATAGAACAAATGCCTGTAAATCAGTGAGGAAAGTATGCTGGCACTGGATAGGTCACATAAAGAAAAGATGATGATGATAATATAACAAGAATGTTTATGCACTAAATCCACAGAACCAAAGAAATAAAGTGGAGACCAAAAAGACACTGCAAAGAGATTTAGAGATGGAGATGAAAAGGATGAGGAAGGTAGTGATGAGCTGCATGCAGGAGCTAAGAAATAGTTGACCTGACAGGACTTTGGTAAATTTATTCTTCATTGAAGGATAAAGAAGAAAAATAGTTTTTCCTTATATCATTGAGGATATAAAAGTGCAGGGAAATTGGTAGTAATTCACACTTTTTCAGTTCCTGTTAAGAATACATGTTTGCCAGTTAGCCCACCAGCTGTAAGTTTGAATCCCTGAGTAGGGTTTTAAAACTTGCCAGGTCAACAGCCTAAATTTGGGTGCCAGAAAATATTCTGTGAAAGTGGCCGGCGTGAGATTGTCGACATCATCCATCAAGCACTGCACGTCTGTGAGAAAATAAAATAGTGGGCTGTGATCAAAGTGCCTCAGGACGTGAACAAGATTTCCCCCCTTTCTTAAGTATGAAAACGACTCACTGTTATGTGGCACAGGGACTAGACACTTGCCTGGGGGTTCAAAGATCGTGGGCTCATATCGACATTAGGAAGGTGTTTTTATAAATGAACTGAGCTTCTAGGTTGACCTGGCATAAAATGGATAACAGGAAATGTCCTAAAAAGTGAAGGCAGCATTACCATCAAGTTCATGGAAATGAGTCTAGCACTGTATGTCAACACAATAAAAATGTTACTTTGCTTTCTTTTACTGTAACCACAACCTAGAGCGTAAGTTGTAAGTTGTGATTACTCTTTTGCTTTAGATTCCTGCCAAACGTTTGATACTGAACGGGAACAGGCCTGGAGAGGAAATCGTGAAAGCGGCAGCTGATGAAGGAGCAGAACTAATCATCATGGGCACTCGTGGCCTGGGCAAGATCAGGCGCACTTTTCTGGGCAGTGTCAGTGAACATGTAATACATCACGCCCACTGTCCGGTGACAATTGTTCGCCAGAGTGAGAAACCCTCACCATAACTTGGTCTTACATGTTATAATGTCCCCTATGAAAAGTTTTTTTTTTTGAAATCTAAATTTGATGTTGTGTATGTAGAGAGGACAGTATTTGATGTTAAAATAGGGGATATTTGTCACTCCTGCACTTTAATGGTTTTTTCCAAATACAGAATATCTTCATATTTTGGTTATATATTTTTTAACAGGCCGATAAATTGTGTTTTGTTAATTTAGATGTACATGCTTTAGTCAGCTGCGCTGACCACCTCACGCTGTCTGTTAGATTTTTTGTTGTTTAATATTTGTTTTGTAAATGTTTTTATTGTTTGATTTTACAGCCATGTTTTTGTTGCTTTATTAAATATGTTTGTTTGCAGCACGCATAGAGGGGACCACTTACTGTACAGTTTAGATAATTTATATTAAGAATTTATTTTCGGCATGTGCAGTATTTTATTGAACCAAAAACGCACACACAGAAATGGGACAGCAGTACTGTGGTTTAAAAAAAAAAAGTAAGTTTAAACACACACAAAAATGTGTTTAAGGATCAGATCAACAGAGATCAGTTAAATGCACTGTGTTATATCAAATATGGCTCGATCTACGTTTGCAGAATGGCTTAATATAGCAGTTCATGAAATATGAGACTGTGGCTGTGATAATGACCTTCAGTATTGAACCAGAGCCTTTAGAGCTCAAGGCAAATTGCTTATCTACTCTGGCATATTAAACCCCTATTGCCTAGCATTTTTTGGTGTAATAGTACAACTTTTTGCTAATGTTTTCTTTGTTAACACAAAGTGACATTTTTTTTTCAAGTTTGTTATTGCGTATTTCTAATGAACAGTTTGTCATGTTTATGTACAGGTCAGTTGGAATGATGACCCCTTTTCAGGACAGTTATAATTCTACTTGTAGGGACCAATATACTGGATCCTGTAGGCCCATGTGAACAGTTTATTTCTGCCCAGATGCAGCTGTACTGGCCTGGTAATTGGTTGACCATACGGCTGTTTGGGAATCTAGGTAACTAATCATCAATTAGCTACTTCAGTAAAATTTTTAAAATGCCCTCTACACCAATAAAACCAGCACAGTTAGATAGCTGTAAACAATCTCTTTCCAATGGTGCCTCATTTAGGCTTGTATGTCATTTCTGAGCTGAGATATGTAGGTTTTTGTGGAGATGAGATGTAAAAAACAGCTGCTAAAACTTGTGACCCAGAAACAAGAAGTTTTTCTCTGCGCAACCTACTGCGCAGTTCTGTATCGGCTTTGTTTACATTGGACTGTCATTGGACAAGATGGCAGGCAATGAGACACAGCCACTGGCTGAGCCAGCGATTGCCTGAAAAATGTCACTGTACATCTACCAAGCCACCGTTCAGTAAGAAATTTTATACACAAATGTAAAATTGGACGGAGAATTCAATTATAACTAGCATTACCAGGACGAGTAACAGTTAAAGCCTAAAGCCAACCTGAAAAACTTATCGCTATTTTCAATCAAACTGATGTAACAGAAAAACAGAGGACGTCCGGCTGTCGTAGACATGCGCTGTTAATCGGATTCCTTCCCGCTGTTTTCAGCCATTTAGAGTGGGTGAAAATCACACCAATCCCAAAATTTCATGAAAGATTAGGACCCATCCCGAAACCCCAGCCGACATTTCCGAAACAAGTTTCAAACGGTTTCCATGGTAACGGAAATTGTCGAAAAGATCGCAAATTTCCGAAACTGTAGTCCCTACATTAATGAAGTGACCTGATTCTTCCCGCCCCCCCCCCCCTCCCCCTTTTCCACCTTGGACACATCAGACATGTGATGCAAGTGCCACGTTTAATCAGCCATCTAGCGCTTGACCGGAAATGTCATCAGCTCCACCATTACCTTGTTCCTGATACCCATTTTAGTTTACTAATTTGCACACTTAGATACATTTTGTTTTGTTAATCGGCCTGAATCTAAATTCAAACCTTGACCATCAGGCCAGCAGGAAAACTTGCTAGCTCTGAGCTACTTTGACTTCCTGATCAAATATATTTGTTTTCTTACTTCACGCTTCTACTGCAGTAACCCTGCTTCCTATTAGTTAGTTAGTTAGTTGGGTTATCTTCATTGCACTCAGGACATGTCCATAGGTGCTCAGATCCTCCCCTCAGTATGAACCCCAACGTCCGATGGCTAAAAGTACCAGTTCTATGTTGATTAACAAGTCTTCTGGAGTGTCTGGTGTGCGTCTCGTTTTTTGCTGTGCCGATCCTTATTCCCAAGTCTGCCATTCTGGCGAGTGATGTGGATTCACTGCCACCAAAGTCCTCTATCCTTCTCATTTCTCTGAGGGCATTGATAATATCAGCATGATCCATAAGCTGACCGTTGGTCAGCTTCCTATGTGATTTACCATATCTTAACCTTTAACTTGAAAACCATTATATGTTATTTTTGTTAATTCATCAGACAAGGATATTAATTACGGGGTATTTTGTATAATATACCAAATACCTTCATATTAAAACCACATTGTGTTTTCATGTTTTATGTGTGGGCATATTTTGCAAGGAATAATGTACAGCTTTTGCCACATTGTTTATTTATATACTGTTAAACTCAAAATCTTATTAGTCACTTTTCATTTTATAATTTTCTTTACATTATTTACACTATAAATCTTGTTTGGCCACCAGTCTTATTTGACTTGCTTCAGGTCTCACATTCTATGCAGATATGCATTTAACAGCCAATTATTGCATAAAGATAGGACATAATGAAGAAACAAAAATACTGAAAACATATCTTCGCTGTGATGTGAAATGGTTAACAAAATGTTAGGCTTTTGGTTAGGGCATTTACAAGAAGTCTTAGGTCAGTGGTTCTCAACCTGTGGGTTGTGACCCATTTGGGGGTCAAACGACCCTTTCACAAAAGTCGACTAAGACCAAAGGAAAAACGCACATTCATTAAAGTTAGAAGTAGCAACGAATATAATTGTATGGTTGGGAGTTGTCACAACATGAGGAAACTTTATGAAAGGGTCGCAGCATTGGGAAGCTTGAGAGCCACTGTCTTAGATTAATAAAAATGATGCAGGTCCAGCTTTGATGTGAGGTTGTTATGGGGTTTGAATTCTGTGGACATGTGAAGTGTAATTGTAACCCTATGATTTGAGAGTCCTTGATTATGTGGAACTTGTGGACTATGTGGGTGGGACTCTTGTGTGCCTTGCATGTTGGGCTTTGAATTGGACAAGAGAATTTTACGTAAGAAAGATATGAAATGGGGTGGGTCACTGTAACTGCTGGAGTAGGACAGGTCAGTGAAACAGAATGGGGTGGATCAGTAAAATTGTCAGAATAGAATGGGTCTGTGTATGTAACTGTTGGAATGGGGTGTGGTCAGTGAAAAAGAATATGATGGGTCAATGTAACAGTTGGAATATGATTTGGGGTGTTTAGAAAAGTATATTATGTAACTGGAAAGCCATCAGAAGCATCAGAGCTTGGTACTAAATAAATTAATGTCCATTTTAATAAAAACACGTCAGTGTTTCAGCTTGATGATTTTGTGTTTGCTTATTGCAAATCTTTATTATTTCTTGTTCAGTTGTGTATTTTAAATACATACTTATTATTGTGACGCAGTTCAAATATGTCAGTCAGACGACATGCACAATAGCAGGACAATCAAGTATTCACACAATTGTAGCATGAGTTTTGTATTTATTCTGCTGATTGTATCTTAATCAGTTGTTATCAGCTGAAATGCAGTTATAATGGGGTGTTTTTCACCATCTCATCTTGTGTCCCCATCTATCCAGTTGAAATATAAACAGTGGAGATATGCTTATAAGGGGGTGCCTAGGTGTTGTTTTCCTGTGACTCGTTTGCATGGTGGGCCTCTCTTTTTACTCCCAAGCTCAACTGTACATCATTGTGGTTTGGGGGTCCATTGGTTGCTGAGATCAATAACAGAACCACTTCATTTGTTTGGAGGAAATCTAGCTTTGCTTCTGCCACCACTTTCTTTATGATTTAATCTTTCATGATCTTTACAATTCTCCATATGTTAAGTGCTGTTCTCGGTAATCTTGTCTCTGTTGTGGTAATTTTCATTGTCCAAGTCTGAAGTTGGTAGCGTACAAATTTTCATTGTCCAAGTCTGAAGTTGGTAGCATAAAAATTTTCATTGTCCAAGTCTGAAGTTGATAGCATAGCAATTTTCATTGTCCAAGTCTGGAGTTGTTAGCATACAAATTTTCATTGTCCAAGTCTAAAGTTGGTAGCATAAAAATGTTCATTGTCCAAGTCTGAAGTTGTTAGCATACAAATTTTCATTGTCCAAGTCTAAAGTTGGTAGCATACAAATTTTCATTGTCCAAGTCTGAAGTTGGGAGCATAAAATTGGCAAAAAGATTGTTTTATAAAGTACTTCATGGGTGTTTTTTTTTTTTTTAAACAGCTGTAATTGTTACACCGGTGTTTGAACTGACTCTTGTATTCTTTTTATTTTACATTGTTGCTGTTGGTTACTTGATTGTTTATTTTGAAATTTTTCCTATGAGAAATTTGCCAATAATAATAAATAGAGGTTTCTGATTATCAGACTGTTGTGTTGTGCTTTCCTTTTTGTGTTCTATTGAACATCATTCATAGTTACTGCACACAATGCATTTAAATGGGCTGCTATTTTAATTTGTCAGAATCATTTAAAAACAAAACAGAAACTATATAAATGTATTGTTTTAAGTTATCAGTATTGTTTAGGAAAGACTCCCTATTAAACTTTTGTTTTCAGTGAGTAGTGGTAAGTCTATAAAAAAAAGTATTGAATTACTGTAAAATTGTGGTTATTGTTAAGATTTAGTATTGAACTGTTATTGTAAGTTATGTGTGTTACTGAAACAGCTTTATTAGGGAGGCTTAAAGTCAACAGAGGACTGATGAAGCCAGGTGAGTCAGCTGAACACACACACAAATGACAAGTTTTACTGTAAAACCGGCACTGCTTAGTTTGTGTC